CCTATGTTGAAGTCTCTGCTGAAATGACAGATCTATCCAGGATGGGTCCAGGCGAGAGATGAGACGTCTTGCTCTGTTCTCTACTCTGTCAAGCACTCGCAGATGAGAGGGGGGGCAGGCAAACCAAGAAAGTGGAGCATACTCTCTCTCTCTCTCTCTCCATCTGTTTGTATATCTCCATCTGTTTATCAGTTTCTTCTCTCTCTCTCTCTCTCTCTCTCTCTCTCTCTCCCTCCCTCCCTCTCTCCTCCCTCCCTCCCTCCCTCCCTCCCCCCCACAAGTTCAACATTGAACATCTCGCAGTTCAAATATTCACACACTCTTAGCATATTTGTTCATTCTACTTAACTAAACTTTAAGTTTTAAGTGGTCTTAGTGGGGGAGTGGTCGGCTGTATGATTGTGTGGTCGGCTGTATGATTGTGTGGTCGGCTGTATGATTGTGTGGTCGGCTGTATGATTGTGTGGTCGGGTGTATGATTCTGTGGTCGGCTGTATGATTGTGTGGTCGGCTGTATGATTCTGTGGTCGGCTGTATGATTGTGTGGTCGGCTGTATGATTGTGTGGTCGGCTGTATGATTGTGTGGTCGGCTGTATGATTGTGTGGACGGCTGTATGATTCTGTGGTCGGCTGGATGATTCTGTGGTCGGCTGGATGATTGTGTGGACGGCTGTATGATTGTGTGGTCGGCTGGATGATTCTGTGGTCGGCTGGATGATTCTGTGGTCGGCTGGATGATTCTGTGGTCGGCTGGATGATTCTGTGGTCGGCTGGATGATTCTGTGGTCGGCTGGATGATTCTGTGGTCGGCTGTATGATTCTGTGGTCGGCTGTATGATTCTGTGATCGGCTGTATGATTCTGTGGTCGGCTGTATGATTCTGTGGTCGGCTGTATGATTCTGTGGTCGGCTGTATGATTGTGTGGTCGGCTGTATGATTCTGTGGTCGGCTGTATGATTGTGTGGTCGGCTGGATGATTCTGTGGTCGGCTGGATGATTCTGTGGTCGGCTGTATGATTCTGTGGTCGGCTGTATGATTCTGTGGTCGGCTGGATGATTCTGTAGTCGGCTGGATGATTCTGTTGTCGGCTGGATGATTGTGTGGTCGGCTGTATGATTGTGTGGTCGGCTGGATGATTCTGTTGTCGGCTGGATGATTCTTTGGTCGGCTGGATGATTCTGTGGTCGGCTGGATGATTGTGTGGTCGGCTGTATGATTGTGTGGTCGGCTGTATGATTGTGTGGTCGGCTGTATGATTGTGTGGACGGCTGTATGATTCTGTGGTCGGCTGTATGATTGTGTGGACGGCTGTATGATTCTGTGGTCGGCTGGATGATTCTGTTGTCGGCTGTAGGATTGTGTAGGCGGCTGTATGATTGTGTGGGTGGATATATAATGTCGTGCCCAATAGGTAAAACTTGCGAATTTGGTTGAAATATCAACACGGTTCTTGCCGAATAAGGAAAGTGAAAATTTTTGTATGGAATAATTTCGAAAAAATCGTTTTGAACCTAACGAAAAAAATATATTTCATTGTGTTTGTTCATTATTAAATTATTGTAAACTTATCTAAAATATATTTAGTTGGATTTAAGCTAAATTAAATTGTGCTAGTTATAATAAGGTCAGGTAAATTTTCTAAGGTTCTTTTGGTACAAAATTATTAATTTTTACACTAACATACATGAAAAAATATGTATTTAAATGTATAAGAGAAAATTTTAGAAAGGACTTAATTTTAAATAAGTTCTTGTTAACTGACCAATTTTACCTATTCTGCACGACATATATATATATATATATATATATATATATATATATATATATATATATATATATATATATATATATATATATATATATATATATATATATCTGATACTGAAGTCTATGCAAATAAAAATTTCATCCCATGTCCACTTATTATAGAAAATTTCGCTCACTAGTGCTCCCATATATTAAAATTTATTTTTGTGTGGTCAATATTAGCTGTACAAACATCATTACCCAGTTCCATTATATATACAACACGCATGTAATGTGTGTGAATATAAATTTGAAACACAATTCGACCCCCCCCCCCCTAAAAAATTATTCTAGCCGTGTATTTTGTTAATGTTAAATTAGACACATGTACAACACTTGGGTATCTTGTTGTGGGAATGTTTGGTCACACAGTGGCTTCATCAGTCCTATACAAAGTAGAATGGTAAAGATCAGGAGATTGAGGTGGTCAGTCTCCTGATCTTCAACATTCTACTTTGTATTAGGACTGATGAAGTCACTGTGTGACATAACGTTCCCTCAGTAAAGATTCTCAAGTGTTCCACATACGTGTAATTCATCAACTTGTCGGTTCTCTGACCCATTTATCTACATTCCACTGAAGACGCCTACTGTGTAGGCGACACTTTTCTGACTAAAGATACCTGACTGTCGCACATGTGTCTTGAAAAACCAGTATATTGTGTTGGTAATACGTCTCTGTGGTTTTCAGCTTGCTGACTGTCGGCATGCAGGGTTCTCCACGGTCCCGACCACGCTCAGCACGGAGGTGCAGGAACTTAACTTGGCCAACAATAATATTATGTGAGTATCCCCTTCATCTGTTACCCTCGGCAAGCCATTTTCTGTGTTTTGTTTTCTTTCATCCCTCCACAGCCCATTTTCTTCCATCCTGCTGTAACTCATTTTCTTCTGTCTTTCCAGAACCCATTTTCTATCACCCTATCATAACCCATTTTCTATCATCCTATCATAACCCATTTTCTATCATCCTATCATAACCCATTTTCTATCATCCTATCATAGCCCATTTTCTATCATCCTATCATAGCCCATTTTCTATTATCCTATCATAACCCATTTTCTATCATCCTATCATAACCCATTTTCTATCATCCTATCATAACCCATTTTCTATCATCTTAACCCATTTTCTATCATCCTATCTGAACCCATTTTCTATCATCCTGTCTTAATCTATATTCTTCTATCTTTCCACAACTGATTTTTGTCTTTGTACATCCCATTTTCTACCATTCCCCATTTTCTTCCTACTACTTATTTTCTTAACCATATTGTCTGGAGGCTGTTTTGGGAGTTAAGTGCCCCCTTTGGCCCAGTTCCAAACCAGGCCTCCTGGTGGATGGTCTGGTCAACCAGGCTGTTGGTTGTAGCAGCAGGCAAACCAATGTATGCACCATAGCCTGGCTGATCAGCCACTAACCTGAAGAACTGTACTTCTTTCCTACTTAATTGCCACAGCCCATTTTTATCTTATTTTAATGCTGTCCCTGGATAATGAGTTCTTTCCCAGGGGATATACATACCCCTTGGGGATATATGGGTACCAGATAATGGGGGTATGGGACTAAATTGACCTTTTTTTCCACACAAGGTTTTACAAGGTTAGGTTAAGGTTCCTAACTTTAGTTACGAGCTAAGACCTGTTACCTACATCAGCTCATTTGAAAACCTTATGACTGAATAATTTAAAAAAAAGTGTAAATTAATACCAAAGTGTAAATTAATACCAAGCTATTGACATATTTTGAAGTCATACTGGTACCTAATAGGACTAGTGGTGGTGATTTCCAGGCTGTGGCTTGTACGTCGGGTTGCGTGCGGCCAACAGTAACAGCCTGGTTGATCAGGCCCTGATCCACCATGAGGCCTGATCACCAATCAGGCCGTGGGGGGGCACTGACCCCTGAAACCCTCTCCAGATGAAGAGGGTATGGGGATGTCCTGTATTGGGCATTCCACTGGGGGTCTGGAATTGTTGCAAGGTTAGGTACCCCCTGGTGTAGAGTTATGTATGTAATACCGTGGTATGGCCCACATGGTATGGCCCACATGGTATGGTCCACATGGTATGGCCTGCAGACTATATCCAACCTGCTAGGGAATGCTATATTGCCTGCTCTGTGTCTAGCAATTAGGAAAAAATTGACAGGAGAGCCTCCACTTATACAGCAGGTTCTGGGTTGCTGTAGGCTCCACTTATACAACAGGTTAGGTTCTGGACTACTGTAGGCTCTGCTTATACAGCAGGTTGGGTTCCGGGCTACTGTAGGCTCTGCTTATACAGCAGGTTGGGTTCTGGGCTACTGTAGGCTCTGCTTATACAGCAGGTTAGTTTCCGGGCTACTGTAGGCTCCGCTTATACAGCAGGTTGGGTTCCGGGCTACTGTAGGCCCCTGCTTTTACATCAGGTTAGGTTCCAGGCTACTGTATATTGTCTCAAGAGAGTAATTTATTTTATTTGATGATGTTCTAACCATGATCAGGTTTGGGGCAGTTGTAGCAACAGGACCTGCATCAGGGATGAAGGGATATAATCAGAGGAAAAGTAAGAGGTTAGATGAAGTTATGTAAGGTTAGCTTAAGGTTAGGTTATGTCAGGTTAGGTTATGTCAGGTTAGGTTATGTCTGGTTAGGTTATGTCAGGTTAGGTTATGTCAGGTTAGGTATGTCAGGTTAGGTTATGTCAGGTTAAGTTATGTCAGGTTAAGTTATGTCAGGTTAAGTTATGTGGCCTTTTTTTTCACCTGAATTCGGTTAAGGAACCCCAAGAGAAATAAATCAGTGATTTTGTTGGGTTATCGTTACATCTACATAATGTTAATATTCATGTATCCATAATATGTTCCTTCAAGACCATTGTAGAATATTTCAGCCTATACTGTCAGAAATGTTTGCATTTATTTTTGTAGGATCTCTCTTTCACTCATATAGTATGCATGTATATACAGCCTCTCCTTACTTAGCAACATACTCGTTTACTGATGCCTCGGACTTATGACGGGCTCTCTGAGCAGAATTTATACCTAAATAATATTACCTAATAATGGTGCCCTGTGGCCTGGTGGCTAAAGCTCTCGTTTCACATGGCGAGGGTCTGGGCTCGATTCCCAGCGAAGGGGTAGAGGCATCGGACGTGTTTCCTTACACTGGGTCTATTACAAAAAAAAGTAATTTTATTAAGATGGTATTAAGATTTACTCCTTTTGTAATAAAGAGTTCGGGATACATAAATACACACATTAAAATCAATTAATCTTTAATATATATAAATCAACTATCTTTGGTCTAGAGGTATTTGAACTATGATATATAATATGTACATGTTACTATAATAAATTATAATCAGCATTTTACTAAAATAATAAATAATTCATAACCCTACACAGGGTACAACTCTTGACACTACTGTCACTATATATATATATCTCTCTATGCTAAAATAATAAATTATAAATAACATTTGTATAATAATAAATTACAATCAACTGCTTCTCACGACACGAGACCAGTCACATGACACTATTCAGTGTACACTACAACCAGGCCATCTCAGTGTCCCACGACACCCTTTTCATCTCAGTGTTCCACTACGGTCCTGTGCATATCTCAGTGTTCCACTCCATCATACGTCCTTAAGTGTCACACTACGGTCCTGGCCCAGTTCAGTGTAACACTCCAACCTTTTCTTCATGTAATGTCCCACTTAAACAGCATCTGATGATTCCGGCCCACAGTTGATCAGCGTAGACGGTGAGTCCACAGACATCACCGGTAGTCCAGTAAATCCTCTCCAAAGCCGGTTGACACACCGCTAGCCGAACACCATGCTGCAAGCTCACTGAATGCGGCCGTCAAGTAACTGAGGCCAACAGACTCAGTGAGCTGCGGTGAGCGGTTCTTCTAACGCCAGTAATAAGTACGATTAGGTGGTCAGGTACCTACTGCGTAGATGTGTACCCTGAGGAGTTCAGGTACTTAATGTTGCTGAAGCCAGTAGACGTGTACCCTTAGGTGTGCAGGTACCTACTGCTTAGGTGCGTATCCTGAGGCGCTCAGGTACATACTGTTACTAAAGCCAGTAGACTGTACCCTTAGGTGGTCAGGTACCTACTGCTTAGATGTGCACCGTGAGGCACTCAGGAACTTACTGCTCTAAGGCCGGCTCAGCAGTCCCCACATTGGGTTTGATGACGTACCCAGTGGTACTGCCGGCCGGCAGGTTAACTATTTAACCGCTAGTTTGGCAGGGGGCCGCAACAGGGTCTATGTTCACTCATCAGTAAAATGGGTACCTGGGTGTTAGTGGACTGGCATGGGTTGCATCCTGGGACAAAAACTGACCTAATTTGCCCGATATGCTCTGCATAACAAGCGGCTTTCTGTATAGTAGTATGTCATTGATATCAGCTAGGCCTATATACCTTGTACATGTACTTATAAATAAAGATATTATTATATTAGAGGTGATTTCCTCTATTCTGTGTATTTCAGTATACAGTGCAGTACTGTATAAAGATTCAAAAAGATACCAGAAATGTTATAAATGATGCAAAGTTGACATTAAAACAATATCAAAGATGGTTGACACTAACCCACTACCATTATAAAATGCTCCTCACTTAGCGACGAATTCGTTGAATGACGTGCTCTTAGGAACACAACTCCATCATCAAGTGAGGAGAGGCTGTATATATATGTAAATAAATAAATTTGTATTTATGCAGTACAAAAAATGTCGTTTACCTGTAACAAAATATTGGTAGGGACAATAGGAAGCCATTAGTATGCATTGGATTACAGTTCAGTTTATTTAATTTAATCTAACATACCAGACCTAACCTAACCTAATCTGATCACACAGTTGAGTTACTTAGTTGTTTTACCTTTTAAGGCTATAATCATGACTTATGACTACTGTATTTTACAGCCAGGCTTTAAATAATAAGATATTACCAGGACCACAGTGGAAATATGTCACTTTGACTTTTTTGGGTTATCCTGGTGGGTGATTTTCATGTATGTTACTATGTATGAATATCCATGGTTCGATTCCCAGCATGGGTGGAAACGTTGGCCGTGTTTCCATGCAACTGCTGTCCCTGTTTACTTAGCAGTAAGTAGGCACCTGGGTATTAGTCACCTTACACCTGCTGTCCCTCTTCACCTAGCAGTAAGTATGTACCTGGGTGTTAGTTGACTGGTGTGGGTGGCATTCTGGGGGACAAGATTGAAGGACTACAGTAGAAATAAAACAGACAGTTATCCCGAGCAGCTAACTCTCTGGGGTTTACAAACCCCAACAAATCTTCTCTAATCATAGAAATCTTGGTTTCAGGTTCCTGGAGAAGGATGCCTTCAAGAGGGCCGGTCTGGTGAACTTACAGAAGTTATACCTGAACAAAAATAACGTCCGAAGTGTTCACAAGGATGCATTTAGAGACCTGCGTATCATGATTGAACTGGACCTGAGTGGGAACCGCATAGACAAACTCCATCCCTACACCTTCACTGGTGGGTCTGCACTCTCCCTCCTTCTATTTTCTACATTATTATACATCATTGTCCCATTATACTTCATTATGTTTTCTGAATTACCATGTATTAATTTCCTAAGGTTTTGTATAGATAGATAAATGTGTCCCGTGGCTCGGTTGGTAATGCATTGGCCTCGTATACTGAGTGTCCGGGTTCAATCCTTGGCACGGGTAGATAGGTTGGGTATGTTTCCTTACTCCTGCTGCCCTTGTTCATCTAGGAGTAAGCAGATACCTGGGTGTTAGTTGCCTTAAACCTGCTGTCACTGTTCACCAAGCAGTAAGTATGTACCTGGGTGTTAGTTAGCTGGTGTGGGTGGCATCCTGGGGTGATAGTATACCTTACATAAGGCACAGTGGTAGAGAGTTTGGCTCACAACCAAAGCACCAGCATTCAATGCTGGTTGGGGTGGAATGCAATCTAACACCTGCTTACTCTCTCCACTTAGCAGTAAATAAATAAATTAGTTCAATTTTATGGATCTAGCATTGAAATATGATATACGGACCTCATTTTAAATACAGGCAGACCCTGCTTATACAGCAGGTTAAGGTCTAGGTTACCCAGACAATAAACAAGTATCAAATTAGGTTGCAAAAGTGCTTTTCTGGGGTTACTTCTCTTCTCTGTTTCTTAATGCCACTAGGACCACCTTGAGAGTCCCGGAGTCCTGTCTCACAAAAAATAGTGTCCAGAGAGCTCTGTTTCTGGCATCTCTTTAAAACTTCCCTAAAATGGGCCAAGACTCTGTCACTGTACAAGTTGCTGATATAGCTTGCAACATCCTTCTCAGGGTGATGTTTCTCCATAAATCTTTCCATCCTACCCCACATTTCAAAAATCTCCTTAATTTCTGAAGAAGGCACCTTCTTCCATCTCTCTTCCTCCTCCTCTGCAGCAACATTCTGAGCTGCGATCTGTTGCTCTTCCTACTGAAGCTCTTGCAGCTCCTCAGTGGTTAGCTCTTCATTGTGGTCCTCCCCCAACTCTTCCCATCCTCCAAAAATCACATCCAAACCCCTGGAACTCCCCATGCCACAATAGAGTTCACAACTGACATAGGCTCATCAGGGGCCACCTCAAAAACCCCTTTAAAATCCCTCTTGTGGACACAATCTGGCCCCAAGTTTCTCCAAGCAGAGTTCAAAGTCCTGGTAGTCACTCCCTCCTAAGCCTTACCTATAAGGCTTATGCAATGGAGAATACTGAAGGTTCTTTCAAAAATCTCTTAGGGTCAAGTGAGTGTCTGAGGTCACATTGAAGCACCTTTCAAACATTGCTTTTGGTGTAGAGTTTTTTAAAGTTTGAAAAGACCTGCTGGTCCATGGGCTGGAGAGAGGGGTGGTATTTGGGCAAGAACTTTACTGTGATGAACCCAAACTCCTTCAGAATTAGGTCATCCAAGTTTGGAGGATGAGCAGGTGCATTGTCTATTATAGGAGGCACTTGAGATCCAATTTCTTTTCCAGGAGGTAATTCCCTTTACACTAGGGCCAAAAAACTTCATTGAAAACCCCTCGACGAAAATATCCCTTGTGACCCATGCCTTACTATTAGATCTCCAAAACACACACAATTTACTCTTCATAACATTGTTTTTCCTGAACACTCTGGGATTTTCAGAATGGTACACTAGTAAAGGTTTCACTTTGAAATCCCCACTAGCATTAGTACAGAACATGAGTGTCAGCCTGTCTTTCATAGGCTTGTATCCTGGCAGCGCCTTTTCCTCCTGTTAAATGTAGGTCCTCTTTGGCATTTTCTTCCAAAAGAGGCCTGTTTCGTCACAATTGAACACTTGTTCAGGTTTCAGTCCTTCAGCCTCTATGTACTCCTTGAAACCCTGCACATATTTTTCAACTGCTTTTTGGTCCGAACTGGCAGCCTCACCATGCATTATCACACAGTGTATGCCAGTACGCTTCTTAAATCACCCAAACCAGCCTTTGCTGGCCTTAAATTCACTCACATCACCACTAGTTGCAGGCAATTTCTTTACCAAATCGTCATGCAACTGCCTAGCCTTTTCACAAATAATCGACGTCATAAGACTATCTCCTGCTAATTGTTTCTCGTTTATTCACACCAATAATAACTTCTCAACATCTTCGAGTACTGGTGATATCATTTTTGTCAGCATATTTATCCCCTTTGCAACAAAAGCTTCCTTGATTTCCTTTTTCTTGGCTATGATGGAAGATATGGTTGTACGGGATTTGTTATACATCCTGGCCAGTTCGCCCACACGTACACCACTTTCATGTTGTTAAATGATGTTTTTCTTAAATTCAATCGTATTTCTCACCTTCTTTATCAAAGGCTTGGCACTAGGAGCTTTCTTTGGAGCCATGGTAGCTTATTTAGCACTTGCAAGCACTAAAATGAATGGAATATTATGAAACATTTCATATGAACAAGTGAGGGGACCGTCGCTCACCGTAAACAATGGCACACTGGCTGGGAAGGGAGGACAACGCGCTCAGAGCCATGAGTACGCGTCCAAGACGAAAGATGATTAGCGAGTTAACGAACTATTTGAGAGCCAATGTTTGGATGAAATAACGCGACAATTTCCGAAAAGGACGACTATCGAGCCAGACGATTATCGAGGGACCACTGTATATATTTTCTTTCAGTAACATGTTTAATGTATACATTTCAAGAACCTCAATAGTAAATAATAAATAATATCTTTATTTACTACAAGTACATTATACAGACCATAACTGACATCAGTGACACTTCTACTGTATATAGAAAATCCCTTGTTATGCTGAGCATTTCCCACAAATTATGTCAGTGTCCCAGGATGTGACCCACACCAGTCCTCTAACACTGATGGGTGAACATAGACAGCAAGTGTAAAGAAACACGCCCAATGTTTCTACTCTGGCTGGGAATCGAACCCAGACCCTCGCCGTGTGAAACGAGCTTTAGCCACCAAACCACCAGAGCCCAGTGGAAATAAATCACTTTGATTTTTTTTTTTCGGGTTATCCTGGTGGGTAATTTACAAATCTTTACTTTATTTTTTATTAACACGTCGGCCATTTCCCACCAAGGCAGGGCGACCTGAAAAAGAAGAAACACTTTCATCATCATTTGCTCCATCACTGTCCTGCCAGAGGCTCACCTACGCTACACTTACAAAACTGCAACTTATCAATGATAATTTGTGTAACTATTTATGTGTGCCTGTACCTAAATAAACTTACTTGCTGTATGTGTGTCAGGTCTGGAGAAGTTACGTGTGCTGGACCTTAGTACCAACCAGTTGGCTCGACTAGACGGGGTTCAGTTTCCTCCTTTACCTCACCTCCGTAAGCTGGACTTGCGGGAAAATGCTCTCGCCTATGTTCACAACTTCGCCTTCTCCAACCTGGCGATCCTCAACTCACTCCGGTACGTGACAAATAAATTTCTGCATGCACTCCTAAATGTCAACCATCTCTGTAATACTATTGAATTATGCTGAAAATAATTAATTTCTTTCCAACGAACTGGCAGTATCCCACCAAGGCAGGGTGACCTAAGAAGAAAAATGAAAGTTTCTCTCTTTAAATTTAGTAATGTATACAGGAGAAGGGGTTACTAGCCCCTTGCTCCCTGTCCCTATCCTAGGATGACCGCTAGCCCCCATCCCCTCCACTGTTGATTTATACACCTTACAAATCAATCTGTTTTGCTCCATCCTCTCTCAGCCCTCTGAATAATACTTTTAGTAACTCCACACCTCCTCCTAATTTCCACACTATGAATTCTTTGTATAATATTTACACCACACATTGCCCTTAGACATGACACCTCCACTTCCTCCAGCCTCCTCCTTGCTGCAGCATTTACACCCCATGCTTCACATCCATGTAATAGTGTTGGTACCACTATACTCTCGTACATTCCCTACTTTGCCTCCATTGATAGCATTTTTTTGTTTCCACAGCTACCTCAATCCTAGATAGTAGGTTGGTAGACAGCAACCACCCAGGGACGTACTGCTGTCCTGCCAAGTGAATGTGAAACAGAAACCTGTTATTGTTTTACATGATGATAGGATTGCTTGTGTCTTTTTTCTGTCTCATAAACATGCAAGATTTCAGGTACGTCTTGCTACTTCTAATTACACTTAGGTCACACTACATGTGCATGTACAAGTATATTATATACACACCCCTCTGGGTTTTCTTCTATTTTCTTACTAGTCCATTTATTTCTGCTTATCTCCATGGGGAAGTGGAATAGAATTCTTCCTCCGTAAGCTATGCGTTTCATCAGAGGCGGCTAAAATGCTGGGAGCAAGGGGCTAGTAACCCCTTCTCCTGTATACATTACTAAATTTAAAAAGAGAAACTTTTGTTTTTCATTTTGGGCCACCCTGCCTTGGTGGGATGTGACTGGCTTGTTGAAAGAAGACTACCTCAGTGCACCACTCCGGTTTTTTCTTTAGTCAGTTCTATGGTTAACCTCGTCCTTCATAAACCCATCTGCTGACAAGTCTGCTACCAGATATCTGAACACATTCGCTTCTTCCATACTCCCTCCCTCCAATGTAATATCCAATTTTCTTTACCTAACTCGTTTCATACCCTCATCACCTTACTCATATATATGTTCACTATCAACTTTCTACCTTTACACACCCAAATTCGTCCATAACCTTTGCAGCTTCTCTTTAAAATCTCCCAAAAGCACAGTATCATCAGCAAGAAGTAACAGTGTCAACACCCATTTTGTATTTGATTCCTCATAATTTAATCCCACCCCTCCCCCTAACATCCTAGCATTTACTTTTACAACCCCATTAATAAATATGTTAAACAACCATGATGACATTACACAACACTGTCTAAGACCTACTTTTACTGGGAAGTAGTCTCCCTCTCTCCTGCACACCCTAACTTGAGCCTCACTATTCTCATAAAAACTCTTTACAACATTTAGTAACTTACCATCTATTCTATACACTTGCAACAGTTGCCACATTGCTTCCCTATCCACCCTATCATAAGCCTTTTTTAAATCCATAAATGCAGTGAAAACTTCCCTACCTTTATCTAAATATTGTTCACTTCTGTGCTTCAATGTAAATACTTGGTCTCCACATCCCCTACTCATTCTGAAGCCTCCTTGTGCATCTGCAGTCCTGCCCTCTGTCTTACCTCTAATTCTTTCAATAATAACCCTACCATACACTTTACCTGGTACACTCAGTAAACTTATTCTTCTTTCAACAACCGGCAGTATCCCACCAAGGCAGGGTGACCCAAAAAGAAAAACAAAAGTTTCTTTTTTTAACTTTAGTAATGTATACAGGAGAAGGGGTTACTAGCCCTGTGCTCCTGGCATTTTAGTCGCCTCTTATGACACATATGGCTTATGGAAGAAGAATTCTATTTCACTTCCCCGTGGAGATAAGAGGAAATAAAAAAGAACAAGGGCTAGTAAGAATATAGAAGAAAACCCAGAGGGGTGTGTATATATGTTTGTACATGTATGTGTAGTGTGCCCTAAGTGTAAGTATGTGTATGAGACAGAAAAAAGACACCAGCAATCCTACCATCACGTAAAACAATTACAGGCTTTCGTTTTACACTCGCTTGGCAGGACGGTAGTACCTCCCTGGGTGGTTGCTGTCTACCAACCTACTACCTAGGGCTCGGTAACCTTTTTTTTTTTTTTAACAAGTCGGCCGTCTCCCACCGAGGCAGGGTGACCCAAAAAGAAAGAAAATCCCCAAAAAGAAAATACAGTGGACCCCCGCTTAACGATCACCTCCCAATGCGACCAATTATGTAAGTGTATTTATGTAAGTGCATTTGTACGTGTATGTTTGGGGGTCTGAAATGGACTAATCTACTTCACAATATTCCTTATGGGAACAAATTCGGTCAGTACTGGCACCTGAACATGCTTCTGGAATGAAAAAATATCGTTAACCGGGGGTCCACTGTACTTTCATCATCATTCAACACTTTCACCTCACTCACACATAATCACTGTTTTTGCAGAGGTGCCCAAAATACAACAGTTTAGAAGTATGTGTGTATGAAAATACACAATATATCCCTCCAAACTGCCAATATCCCAAACCCTCCTTTAGAGTGCAGGCATTGTACTTCCCATTTCCAGGACTCAAGTCCAGTTATATAAAATGACCAGCTTCCCTGAATCCCTTCACTAAATATTACCCTGCTCACACTCCAACAGCTTGTCAGGTCCCAAATACCATTTGTCTCCATTCACTCCTATTTAACATGTTCACGCACGCTTGCTGGAAGTCCAAACCCCTTGCCCACAACACCTCCTTTACCCCCTCCCTCCAACCTTTTAGAGGACGATCCCTACCCCACCTTCCTTTTCCTATGGATTTATACACTCTCCCTGTCATTCTACTTTGATCCATTCTCTCTAAATGACCAAACCACCTCAACAAACCCTCTTCATCCCTCTTACTAATTCTTTTATTAACTCCACACCTTCTCCTTATTTCCACACTCTGAATTTTCTGCATAATATTTACACCACACATTGCCCTTAGACAGGACATCTCCACTGCCTCCAACCGTCTCCTTGCTGCTGCATTTACCACCCAAGCTTCACATCCATATAAGAGTGTTGGTACTACTGTACTTTCATACATTCCCTTCTTTGCCTCCATAGATAACATTTTTTGCCTCCACCACTCACCTTTTTTCCTTCATCAATTCTATGATTAACCTCATCTTTCATAAATCCATCCACTGACATATCAACTGCCAAATATCTGAAAACATTCACTTCTTCCATACTCCTCCTCCCCAATTTGATATCCAATTTTTCTTTATCTAAATCATTTTATACTCTCATCACCTTACTCTTTTCTATGTTCACTTTCAACTTTCTACCTTTACACACACTCTCCCAAATCATCCACTAACCTTTGAAATTTTTCTTTAGAATCTCCCATAAGCACAGTATCATCAGCAAAAAGTAACTGTGTCACTTCCCATTTTGTATTTAATTCCCCATAATACTTATTCCCCAATAAATTTTTTTACAGTTTCTTTTGTCCCCCTTCCTTTATATATTCATTTTTCATTTCCATACATACATGTGATAAATTTTAATTGATAAACTATGCACAATAAGTCAAGAATTAGCACTTTTTCACTGATGGGAAGCACTTCACAGCTTCTCTTAGGCTTTGAAGAACTGCCACCATCACTACCTTTGCCACAGTAAACAATGGATAATTGAAACTGCGGATACCAAATCCGTGGATACAGGGGTTATACTGTATAGCCATTCTTCATTTATTCAGACTTCTTACAATAAATATATTGACGACTCACTATAAGATGAGGATGAAAATATTTTAAGGTAAATACAGTGGACCCCCGATTAACGATATTTTTTCACTCCAGAAGTATGTTCAGGTGCCAGTACTGACCGAATTTGTTCCCATAAGAAATATTGTGAAGTAGATTAGTTCATTTCAGACCCCCAAACATACACGTACAAACGCACTTACATAAATACACTTACATAATTGGTCACATTCGGAGGTAATCGTTATGCGGGGGTCCACTGTAATGTGTGTACTGGATGTTAATTTTTTAAGCCTAGCTTTATTGCTCACTTAATATATGATAGTGCAAACATGTTATCAGGCTTTTATATGCATTGGAAAGTGAAAAAAAAAAAAGATTTGTCTCACTTTACAGCAGTAGCCCAGAAAAAACTATATATGGGGGTCCTACAGTAGCACGGAACCTGACCTGCTGTATATGGGGGCCCTACAGTAGCCCAAACCCTAACCTGCTGCATATGGGGGCCCTATAGTAGCCCAGAACCTAGCCTGCTGTATATGCAGGGCCCTACAGTAGTCTGTAACCTAACTTGCTGTATAAGTGGGCCCCCACAGTAGCATTCCTGTATTCAACATTTGTATCTCTGATGGAATACTACAAGAAAATGTGCAGTTGTTTTGTTATTCTTATGATGTTTGTGTTTTCAGGTTGTCAGGTAATCGCCTGCAGCTGATACAACCACAGCTTTTCCTCAATAACACCAGACTTGTGGAGCTGGAGCTGCACGATAACCTGTGGGAGTGTGACTGTCGGCTGAAGGATCTTGTCAACTGGGTGAAGAGCAGAGCTCTCCTTCAGGTAGCTCCTTATCTTTCTCATGTATCTGTTTTAAAATAATGTTGTTATTTTTATTAACACATAGACTGTTTCCTACCAAGACAGAGTGACCAGAAAAAGAAGAAACACACTCATCGCAGTCAGGAAAAAAAGCAACAGGAAAGGCGATATTTTATGGGTAAGAATTAAAAAAAAATCCTAAGTGAAGCTGACGTATCAGAGTCAGAATAAAATGGAGTTTGTATCCACCTTCCATGAGCAGTGCTATCAAACCCCAAGTTATACATCCAATTTTCTCTAAAAAGAACCTAGTTTTTATACATATTTCTAATGCTGTCAGTTTGACAACTGTGAACTGTCAAGTTTTCAGACACAACCTTATACTTTATATTCTTGTTAGACATATCACGATCACCTTTTTTGTTTACTTAAAAAAGGTATGCAATCTTTTTTTTTTTTTATAATTGTAGCTACCTTTTTACTGTCCTTTAATAGTATAGATTTTTTTTTTTTTTAACCTGCCATATCCCACCAAGATAGGGTGAACCAAAAAGAAAAATGCAAGATTCTCTTTTTCTTTCTTTCTTTCAACACACTGGCCATGTCCCACCAAGACAGGGTGGCCCAAAAAAGAAAAGCGAAAGTTTCTCTTTTTACATTTAGTAATTTATACAGGAGAAGGGGCTACTAGCCCCTTGATTAGTATAGAACTATCCACTTTATTTTTACTCTAGAATACCTAGTTTTTGTATTTCTAATTTTGTCAATTTGACAACTGTGTATTGTGTAATTACTTCAAACACCACCTCATGGTTGATAGTCTCATTAGACACCTCAAGATCACCATTTTGTTCAAAGATTTAAAAACTTGAAAGTTTTATTTTCCACATTTCGCTGCTCACAACACTTATTTTAGTTTCAATGTCTCAGCATCTGACGTAACTAGGAGAGCTACAGCCCACCCCACACCCCAAACTTGTAGCTCCCATCACTGACCTTCAGTTTAGGACGCAGGGTGGTTTTTGGAGACATTTTTTGGAAAAATTGCGTCTAATAAGCCACAAAATACAGTATTTCTTTGCAGTGTTTACATTGTGTGATTACAATTTTGTTAAGTACAAAGAAAGCTACTATCATGGTGGCGCATTTCGGGCAGGCTAAACCTAATTCATAAGCCTGAAAAGGTGTGCAATTTTATTTTTTTATATTTGTAACTACCTTTTACCGTCCTTTATTAGTATAGACCTGTATACAGTGGACCCCCACGTTTTGGCAGCCACGACGTTTGTGAAATCCAACTCTCAGCAACTTTTTACGTCAAAATATAGCCTCGCAGTTCGTGATTGGCCTCGTGATTCGTCCGTCGTATGGGATGCATCCGTGCAGCCGGGAGCAGCCGGGCATACACAAAGGCTCCCACACAACATTCTGAGAGTCAGTATGGCATGATTTGTGGGCGAGTGACCATCACCCCACAGGTTCATACGATACATTTCATAATAATCCATTGTTTTTTGTGCTTGTAACTGCTAAATAAGCCACCATGGGCCCAAAGAAAGCTCCTAGTGCCAGGCCTTTGGTAAAGAAGGAAAGAAAAAACTTGTAGCAAAGTACCAAAGTGGAAGAGGAGGAGAGAGGGGAGAATGTGCCGCCTTCAGTGATTCAGTGATTCTACGATATGTATGATACTAAAGCAGCAGGTATCGATAAAAGCTGTATCACCAGCCAGTGATAAAGTGTAGCATTAACAGTGTAGCAAGTAAGTTAAGCGATTAAGCGATAGAAAAACATCACGAAAGTAACATACGTTGGCCTGCTATCTTCCACCACCCTAAACCTCTGCCAGCATCTCCTCCATCAAACTAACTAATTAAACTAACATCTCCTCCAAGGTAGGTGTAAATATTTCTTATTTATAAAGTGTAAGTATTTCTTATTTACAAATTACGTACATCGTTTCAGTGTGAATAGTTCATGTAGGTTCGCCGGTACTTCCAGCCCAGGTCTTCTCCAGGTGGCGACCCGGCAGTGTGAATAGTGGTGGTGGCTTCTGCTGCTGCCTCCACTACCACTAATATGTACGGCTTCTCTCAGTGGCCCTTATAAACCCAACAACAACAACATCACTTGTGACATATGCAATGACATATTTTATTAATTCTAGAGTATATATCATGTTTCTATCTTATTAACCCTTTCAGGGTTGGCAGGTCCTCTCCTGAACTTGTTCTCATGGTCGGAAATTTTTCGAAAAAAAATAAAAAAATTTTCTTATGAAATGATAGAGAATCTTTTCCTGGTCATAATGGCACCAAAAGTATGAAGTTTGATGGAAAACTTACGGAATTATGCTTTCACGAAGTTAGAGGTCTCAACGATGTTTACGCATTGGCGATTTCGCCCACTTTGAGCCCTATTATCGGTCAATTCCAATGTACCAGTCGACAAACATCATACCTATTTCGCTAGAACTCCATTTTGTCTATCGAATGAATACAAGAAACCACCCATTTACCGATTTCAACTAACCAATAACGTGGTCAGAAATTGGCAATTTTGCCAATTTCGCACAAATTTCAAAACATGCCGATTTCCAAATAGGGTCCAGAATAAATAAGACAGACATTCCTGGCACTAAAATAACATTTCCTCTGTTGGTTACTCATGTCCCCAGGCCTCTGCTACATTTCTTTTGCTTTCCACTTTGAATTTTTATTCTCACAAAGAATAGAAGATTTATGTTATGCAGACTACTGTATTCATGTAGAAATGGTATAAATAATATCAGCTCACTTGTGAAAGAATATTAGGCTCACCAGTTGTTGTGTATTGGATGCGTGGCATGATTTGTTTACCTTTGAACTTTGGCAAAAATTTAATATTTCTGCTACTTTGAGCTCAATTTCAAGGTACTTTTCATTGTGAAACCAATCAAAATCATCTCAATTTCCATAATATGTCTTCCATTCTATAAAATGAGGCAAGGAAATCTAGAATATACCCATAAATAGCATATGAAAATACACTGCAAAGTCACCATTTTGAATTAAAAACACAGAGTTTTTTTTTTTCTCATTATGCACAGTGTGCTGCAAGATTTTTTAATACTGCGCACACTAACCACGTAGACCCATTCTTTCATATGTAGGCCTACCAGCTTTCTCTCGCTAGATTTGAAGGCACTAGAATTTATGCATACTAGTACGGCACCAACCCTGGCGTGCAAGCCGTACTAGTACAGCACCAACCCTGAAAGGGTTAATATTGTTTATTATGTCATATTAGATGAATTATGATAGATAAATAAAGCATAGAGATGATAGCGTCATATTGAAGCATAATAAACTTGCCTCCCTCTCCCCTCCTACCTGTCTGCCATACACCAACAAGAGTCTTCAATAAAGGTAAGTTTGATGTTAAATGTTCATTTATCCATTTTATTAGTGCTTTACATTTATTTGTCATTGTTTTCTGTATGTAAATCTATATTTAATCTTTAAAAAAAATACTTTTGGTTAATACTTTTGGGTGTCTGAAACGGATTAATTGGATTTCCATTATTTCTTACGGGGAAGATGGTTTCACCATTTGTGAATTTTGCCATTCAGCAGACTCTCTGGAACGGATTAATCATGAAACTCGGGGGTCCACTGTATTTTTTTTACTGTCTGTTGTGTGCAATTTATAATAGTGTTAGTGCAATAACAATCCAAATTCAGATGTTAGTGATATGTAACCTTTATTTTTTACTACCCACAGTATGCGGTTCATAATAGCATTAGTGCAGTAACAAAGGTGCTATTTATATAATCTAGTCTTAATTGTCCAATAGATTTCATTCCTACTCTAGCATTATACATTTATTAGTTTTTGCAATTTACACCAATATTGTTCAATCACCCCCTTATTATAGATATTAATATTATCTCTTATCACCCTTCTGCAATTCATTATCATCTAAATATTTTTAACCTAAATGCTGAATGCTGACATTGGCCCTGAACTAATTTTTTTTTTTTTTAACACATCGGCTATTTCCCACCAATGCAGGGTGGCCCAACGAGAATGAAAAAACTTTCATCATTGAACACTTTCACCATCACTCATACATAATCACTGTCTTTGCAGAGATGCTCAAATATGACAGTTTAGACGTCCCTCCAAACTGCCAGCATCAAAAACACCTCCTTTAAAGTGCAGGCATTGTACTTCCCATTTTCAAGACTCGAGTCTGGCTGACCTGTTTCCCTGAATCCTTTCACAAAATATTACCCTGCTCACACTCCATCAGCTCGTCAGGTCCCAAAAATCATTCGTCTCCATTCTCTCCTATCTAACACACTCATGCATGCTTGCTGGAAGTCCAAGGCCCCTCACACCCACAAAACCTCCTTTACTCCTTCCTTCTAACCTTTTTCAGGATGACCCCTACCCTGCCTCCTCTCCCTACAAATTTATATGCTCTTCAAGTCATTCTGCTTTGTTCCATTCTCTCTAAAAGACCAAACCACCTCAACAAACCCTCTTCAACCTCTGACTAATGCTTTTAGTAACTCCGCACCTCATAATTTCCACACTACGAATTCTCTGTATAATATTTACACCACACATTGCCTTAGACACACCATCTCCACTGCCTCCAGCCTCTTCCTCACTGCAGCATTTACAACCCATGCTTCACACCCACATAAAAGTGTTGGTACCACTATACTCTTGTGCAGTCCCTTCTTTGCTTCCATGGATAATATTTTCTTTTTGGTCTCTACAGATACCTCAATGCACCACTCACATTTTTTTCCCTCAATTCTATGGTTAACCTCATCTTTTATAAACCATCCACTAACAAGTTAATTTCCAAGTATCTGAAAACATTCACTTCTTCCATACTCCCTCCCTCCAGTGTGATATCCAATTTTTCTTTATCTATATTGTTTGATACCTTCATCACCTTATTATTATCTATGTTCACCTTCAACTTTGTACCTTTACACACCCTCCTAAACTCATCCACTAACCTTTGT